GCAAGTAATTTTGTCGTGTTCAACTTCACATTTCACATTTATCCAGATCGAATACCAGCAAATTTAGATTCATTTCGTACTCGATTTTGGCTTGAAGAGAAGCGCTGATTTATCGCTCATGAAGATAATAATGTGTTCTCAGTATTGAATTCTACAGAAAAAGAATCCGATGCAGATTTTACATTGCCTAGTTTTACTACCTCACCGGATAATACCATATTTTATGAATGTATTGATCGAATCTCATTATCTGAATCATCTGTAAGAAATAAATATTATTTTCCCAATATCAAACATTTAGAAATCTTCAGTCCTATTCCTCTATTTGCTCTACGTCAAACGGTTAATCTAAGTCGAGTACAAAATTTGATGTTGTCCTCATTGATAACATTGAACAAAATCGAATATATTCTAAATGAAATGCCTTTACTATATGGATTATCGATGCAAAACAGTGTGCGATATTTTCTTGAAAAGGTACTATATAAATCATTCGAACAGATTCGAATGCTTCACCTTGGTCCGTTCTTTGGCAAAGATGATTTTACTATGGATGAGTTCTCGTGTGTTTTTCCACGTGTCGAACGTCTCCATATTTCAAGACCGTGTTCAATCGCAGAAATCATGTCTTACATTGTTTATCTGAAATATCTGTCAAGTGCAGGATTTTGTTACGTTTCATTTACTTCAGAAGAAAATGACAGACAGCAATGGTTTCTTGATTTCCAATCAGCCTGTGATCGAATAAATCAATCGCAAACATATGCGTTAACCTATCGATTCACTCAGACACATGTTTACATATGAATAAGAAAATAATCTAATTTATATCATAACTGTAAAAGGATTTTTTCATTGAATTTCAAGATTAATAAAGAAAAAGCATAAAATTTCTGTCTGCAAACAGGATCACAGCATGATGCCATCTACCAAGTAATGGAATCCATTCTGCTCACGAATATCGTTGGTTTGGGCATTAAATCAAAATATTTCGATTTTGTTGAGTTTTTTTTCCTGATTCTGACACTTACAAAATGTTACTCCTTACCGTTCATTCGTATCAACATCTGTTATTGAGACTGAGAAATCTAATCAAAAAATATCTTAAAAATGAATCTACAATTATACTTATCCATCTTGTGTTCACAAGAGATTCTAGAAAGCTCTAAAATGCTTGTTCTTCGAGTTGAAATAATGCTTTGACCAGAATCTTTCGCATCATATTTAAGAATATTATTCTATGGCTGCTTGATTTGAATTAAGATTTCGCTTTGTTCTAGGCTCGGGGTGTGGGTGCAAATGAAAATCATTAATGTACCTTAACGCACATTCACATTCTTACGAAAAGTTAAAACTGTGCTTGTAGCAATATATATATAATTTTGTTTCTTCTTTTTCTTCATAAATATAAATTGAGTATCACAAGCATGAAATGTTGAATCTTGACTATTACCATAACCACAACTAATTAGATGGAAATACACGAGCATCTAAAAGCATGTATATATCCATAACCTCAATATGATAATCAAATATTAATCTTCAGACTAAAATCAAAAAGTCAGTATAGAATGATGAATAACTATAATTCGGCTGCTTTGCCATGCATAACATAATGCAATAGTAAGTATTCACTTCTTTATCGATAAGCAAGAATAACTAATATATCGGTGTATTATTTCGGCTATTTTCAAGGTTTATTTTTATTTGAAGGTAACATCACATTATGATATTGATGTTTGAGATATATGTACGGTTATTGATGCTGGTCAACTTTCTATCTGATTGTGGTAATGATAATAGTCAAGTTCAATATTTCTTGATGTTCATAATCAATCTATGTGTATAAACAAAAACAAGAAACAAAATTATATATGAATATAACGAATAAATAGATCATATTTGATAGTATAGCTCGAATAAAAAAAGACTTTAATAAATGAAAATTTTGAAAATGGTCGAATTTACAAACCGAAATATTACTTACTCTTGTTTGTCGATAAAAAAAGTTATTAATTCATTGCTGCATGTTTGATAATATTTCTACGAAATGATAAGCCATGCGAATATTTATTATTGATCGAGAAACCAATGTTGACATATACTGAAAAAATTAAATTTAAATAGTTTATCTTGCAGCTACTGATCTATTCTATAAAACTCAGTACAGAGTTGAGTATGAAGCATGGGTGCAATATGGGTGATTTCTTCAACAATATCTGTATTAATCCCCACTGCTACCTCCGTATCCACCACCACCCAAGTGACCATATTGTGATCTTGACCATCTCGGCTTTAGAACGTTTCTAGAGAAAATTCTACATACATTTCTATGCGGAATTGAACGAGCTACATTTTCATGAAATCAGATGTTTTCCCATTCACATTGACTTTTGAGAGACAAGTCAAGTATACAGTTTTATAGAGCCAAGCAAGCTTTATGGTTTACTGCATGATCAATTTTCCTCAATGACGAAGTAGCGAAGAAAAAAACAAAACAAAATGATCACGCAATTTTCGCCATTTCAAGGATTTCAAATAGGATGCGAGCAATAATTCTTCTCTACACAATCAACAATACCTTTTCACACTCTCCTTTTTTGAGTGTTCTTGTATGACATGAACTGTTCTATCATTATAAAGAACGGAATTCAAAACCAGAAATATACGACGTTTCTTAATATACGGAAAAACTTCCATTTTCTCATGAAATGTCTCGTCATATGGCGACTCTACAAGTTCACATTTTTTCAAGAAAGCTTTTTTTTTCTTTCGTTTCTACGTTCTCTTTCTTTTTTTATTTTACGCCATTGCCACCTCGTTCACCAAGTATAGAAGTTCTGGCATAGAAGTGGAAAAAAGTGCATTAAATGTTGACAAGGACGCAAGAATACCTGTTATTTTCATTCTAATTATTTCTTCTGAAGGTGCATTTTAACAACCGCAATAGCTTTGCTTTCGTTTTACGGTACAGTCTTCCCCGTCTTAGTTTTTTACGTCTGTAGCTGTTGTATACATAGATATTCATAAGAAAATAAAAAAATTTTTACTGAAATTTTTGTAATCCGTTTTCACATTGTTTGTGTTTTTATAACACCGTGGTTAAGATGTTACATGGCACACTCACGTCCCTTCACTTTCTGGCATCTCTAGAGAATGGCTGATATGAACATTTTTGAACCTATGAAACAAGTGGATCACAACTAACTAGTAGCTGAAAACTTGTCATACATTCAAAGCTCCAAGAAATGTCCTTCAAACGCTTGTAGGGGGCGCAAAGTGTGAAAAAGACCAAACATATTGCATCACTTTCTCCGAGAAGACAAATTCGACTGAGCTCCCAGCTTTTCTGTTGATACGAAAAACGAATCTGTAGACTCCATTTTTCTTCTTTTGAATAATGTGGTTGCTTTCAACTATTGAAAATTTAATACGAAAGGTCCTTGGACAAAACGTGTTTTTTTCATTGGTCGAACTTTTTTTAATCTGTCGATAATTCATTCAATGAAATGAATTTTTTTGGAAATTAGAAAATGGACCTACAGGTTTCTATCCAATATATATGTAGTGAAAGTTTCAGGCCGATCAGTTCAATTGTTGTCGAGACAAAGTGCATTAGTTTTTTTTTTATGTGCAAGTACAACATGAGAGATGTCGCATTTGCCAGCAATGGAGACTGACAAAATTTTTCATAAAATGCAACAATTTGATGGACAGTAAGTAGTTTGAAGCTACGACTGCCACTATTTGATTGAGAATATTCTTTTTCGGACACATCATCAGCAATTAGTTTGACTTTTGGAATTTAAAAGTCAATTTGTAGAGCTTTTAGAAAAAAATTAATAACTATTCACAGATGCACGATGTAAACTTCTGACAAATGGCGTTTTGAAGAGCACACCTTAGGCTATTAGTGCATGCATCAAACTGAAATCCGATAAAAGAGTTCTGTTCGAGATCGGAAAAGGGAGAAGACAGCGTCCTTAAGTATTATTTTAAGCAGTGGTACAAATAGCTCTTTATTTTTCGCTTCTCTATTGGAAAATGATATGGAACTACTGACATTTTTCATGTCGTTCATTTTCAGGTTGTAATATTTTAGCTTTTTCTGAAGGCTTCGACTAATAGAATCTATTTCAGTTTATCAGCAATGTTAATATGAATATCTAGAAAAAATTCAATTCGATCATTTCGCTATGCTCAAGTCGATTTTTTAAAAATGGCAAAGATTTGCTTTTGCTGTAATGTGTACTGCTGAGTGTAACCGTTGTACATAATGCTATACTAAATATATGAGGAATAACGAAATTCTAAAGTTCCTTGCGAATACAGAGTGTGGATAAAGTGAAGGATCACACCCATACCCTTAACACAAACTAATCCAATGTTTCACAATATAAGATGAAACAAATGTCTGAAGTCTAATTGACCGAATGTATCTGATCTTGTCTCAGTGATATTATATTGTCGAAAGAAAAAGAAGAATTTGAAAGCTATTTAAGTTAAAATAATTTCGGAGTTCAATCAATTTGGATCCTTTCTTTTTTTTTCTCTCTATCGTACAACGTTGAAATAAAGAAAAACGAAAGAATGTGCATAATCTAATTTCTAATTTATTATTCATTTTCTTGTTGTAGTTTTAAAATGCAGCTGTGTCGGAAGATAATCTCTCCTGGACTTTATTGTTCATTTATTAGCCAAGTCAGTAGGCGATACCAAACGACTGCTGCAAAACTCAATTCACCTACTTCGACCGAAGCCTCTATGGAAACCGTTATAGACAATGTACCTATTACAACTAAGTTAGAATTTCTAGTACCAAAAGATAGATCAGTTATCCCTAAATATCGCATTATGGATACAAATGGTTGCATCATAAATAAAAATGACATACCTAGAGTGAGTTGAATGTGTACTTGAATTCAATATTGTTTTATTTCTTGAATCGTACTTTGGTCTTTTAGTTCTCTGATGATCAAATTGTCAAGTTGTATAAGAACATGACTATGCTTCAGGCGATGGATAAAATTTTGTTTCAATCACAACGACAAGAACGCATATCTTTTTATATGACGAATCATGGTGAAGAAGCAACACAAATTGGCAGTGCTGCTGCTCTCGATCCTACCGACCTCGTTTATGCTCAATATCGCGAAGCTGGTAATACGATAATTATATTCATCACTAAACAATAAATTTTTGTGTAATAGGTATTCTGCTATATCGTGGTTATGAATTGCATCAATTTATTGATCAATGCCTGGGCAATGCACGAGGATCTTGCAAAGGAATTCAGATGCCTATTCATTATGGTTCAAAAGATCTCAACTATGTCACCATCTCGTCTACTGTTGCTACGCAAATGCCACAAGCTGTGGGTAGTGCTTATGCTTATAAACGGTGAAAAAAATTGTTTCCTTGTTTAATTTCAACAATGTCTCTTATTTCAGTGCTGGAAATAGAAAATGTGTAGCGTGTTATTTTGGTGATGGTGCTACAAGTGAAGGCGATGCTCATGCAGCATTTAATTTCGCTGCTACTCTTGAAGTACCAGTTATATTCATCTGGTAAGCCCATTATTGACATATTTGATGATCTTCTTGTTTCTTATACGTTCGGTAATTTAGTCGTAACAATGGATATGCTATTTCAACGCCATCAAAAGATCAGTATCATAGCGATGGCATTGCTTCTCGTGGATATGGCTATGGCATGATGGCAATACGTGTCGATGGGCATGATCTATTTGCTGTTTACAATGCGACTAGAGCGGCACGTCAAGTTGCCATCAATGAAATGAAACCGGTATTAATTGAAGCCATGGTTGATAGGTAAAGAAAATGATTGATATGATCATAATGAATGCTAGGTTTTTTTTTTTTATTAATCAAAGATTTGGTCCTCATTCGACCTCAGATGATAGTTCAGCCTATCGGTCCGAGGAGAAGCTGCAAACATGGGTAAAAAAAATAGATCCGATAGAACGTTTCCGTCGATATATGTGTGCACTTGGTTGTTGGAATAATGAAAAAGAGGAAAAATGGAGACGAGAGGCTACAGAACTAGTGAGTTCTTTCTCATTTGCTTGTTATTTCGAAGTTTAATGTTTCAAATATAGGTGAAAAGAGAATTAGAGCGATGCGAACAAGTGAAGCGTGCACCGATAACGACTATGTTCGAAAATGTATTTGAAAAAATGGAACCACATTTGCAACGACAAATGAACGAGCTCATGAAGCATGTTCAACAAAATGACGATGCGTCATTCTTAGCATTACTATCTAAGTACGAGCAAACATCAATATCAAACAAATAATAAGAACTCGAATTTTCCCAAATCTATTATTTTTCAACCTATATTTGTAAGTCTTTCATCTTACTGTTCTACGAAAGAATGAATATTGAGAGAGAAAAATCTCTCATCTCCTTTTCAAAGCTAACACTACCATATGATAATAGTCATTTCGTTCATAAATACTGCGTATCATCTTCAAATCTAAAAATCATTGGAAAATTTCAAAGATGCCTTCAATTAGCCAGAAAAGCATATATATATATATTTACATACAACTGATTGCATAACTCAGTTTTTTCTGGTCGCTTATTGGAAGTTCGTCATAAAATTCATAAATAATCGTTCGATAGTAATCATCTGGATCGAATAGAAAAGCTGGCACCGAGAGCTGAAGCTGAAAGCGGACCTTTCTGTTGAATTTAACATTTTCATGTGCTGTATACATATGTTGTTTGTGATTGAGTCGGATTTTACTAATATAAATATTTATTTTCGAGTTCTTGACCATTGCAGATCAGGCCAAAAGACTGAGCAGAACAGGGACTGAAATCTTCAACTCCTTTATATTCAATTATCTGCCATGTACTGTTGCAAAATCTGTCTCAGAGAATAGTGTGCAATTGTCCCTCTATGATATGGCGATATATCAAATAACGCAAAACTAGAGAGGTCATCAATACNTGACGTTATCAACACCCTTGCTAGGTACTAAGTATTATAAAGTTTACCTAAAAGAATGTCAGAATTAAATCCAAGATAGACTTGTTATATGTATAATTATAGACGAGATATTTTACTAACTATTTATGCAATAAAACTTTCAAAACTGAGTATTTTAATGAATTTAAAACTCCGTGGCCAGAACTTTTGGACCACCCTAAGTATATTTTTCTAATAACACGTTCCTCTACTGAAAGAATTGTCTGTTTTTTCTTTTATCTAGCCGTAGTAGGTGCAGGTCCAGTTTGGGAAGGTACTTATGCACTTACTTCCAACTGTAACACCAACACTTGCTGTTGTCCAAAAGGAAATATTGTATTAACACGTTCATCTTCAACTACGGCTTTAAATTTTCTCTCTGCTCAATTTGCCGTCACTGGATATTGTGGTTTGACAACTTCGATTTCTCAATCAACAACGTATCCGACTGGCTACTCATGGTCAGTCGCATACGGACTTGCTACTGTACAATTTACACTCAGTACCGACAGCAGCAGCATTAGTGGTGCTATTGTGGGTACTTCATTATGCTCTATGACAGCAAAGAAAATTAACTAAAAAAAAACAGTTCTAATGGAATAACAGAGATCATTAAATAGATTATGTAGAATTCATATGAACATTGATAATATAATATTTCACATTGCACTAAATTGATTTCTAATAGTATGCTTTTGCTTTTGTCTTGCTTTTTTTCAATAAAGCCAAGAATCATCTTACAACTGAGACCACAATAAAGATTCAAATATATCAATATTTTTCAGAAATTTTCTGACAACAGCAATATAATAATATGAAGAATCTCAGCTGATGAGACTCTCGACCTGTGGTTCAGATAAGAAATCTATCAATAGCTTGATATTGTCAGAGTAAACAAGTGTCGTTTCTAGGAAAGAATCATGTCATCTGCCTATAAGGAATCAAACGCTTCATGGGTTAACGTCATGTACATGTTTGAATAATGTCCAACGTAACAATATCGATTGGTGCTCTATAACAATCTTCTCACTGATCCTTTTAATAGTTGCACGTTAATTCATTTCATATAAATCCAACTTCAGTACATTTATCTAAAGCAAACAATGGACAAAAAAATCGACATTCACATTATGGAGGAGAACAAGATTAGCAACATACTTCAACAGAAAAAATTTAATGAAGAAATCTTTTTGAAAGAACGATAACATTATCATTTTAATATTCGAATAAATACTGATTATTTCTACAAAAAATTTGAAAAATCCATAAAAATAGTCTGTCATTTCAATGAAATTTTAGTTTTGGCATCAAATCTGTTGCTTAAGATACAATTCAAATGATTATCGAGTTTCTTTTTAGTTATAAAGCAAATCTTACTTTTTTTAAAGAATCTGATCTGCACGACAGATCATTTTTTTCAATACCTAATAAAATTGGTTGATATTAAAATGATTTTATGCTATGTAATATTGAAAAGAAAACGACTTTGCAATGTATCCTTTCTCAATTAGTGAAAACCGCAATTTTCTAGCCCATTTTTGTTCTTAAGGGTGTGGGTGTGGATGGATGTGGGTGTGGGTGTGGGTGTCTTCTCTTCATCAAACACAAAGGTACACTCACTCACACCTACGCCCACACCCACGCATTTCGAAAATAGGACGCGTCGAAACACGATTTAAATTTATTTTCACCTCGATTTTGTGCAATTCATACAAAACGCCTCTAGACGCGTTAAATTTTTACTTTTCAATGTATCTAGATGCATTGTATGAGACAAATCGCATTCAGACGCACAATTGTTGCGTTTGGTGTATACATGGGATGTCAAAAGTAAAATTATAGAAAGTAACAATATCGAAAGTAAAATGTCGAAAATAAAAATGCCGAAAATAAAAATATCGAAAGAAAGTAGCAAAGAAAAATAAACAAAGATGCATACGTCTGACAAAGTTTTTTCAGCTTCACATTGATTACTGTATGATTCGTTCATTATTGTCTTCGTTAAGATTGTTTTATAGTTGCTCCAATTATAAATCTTAATAAAGTCTTCATCATAACATTACTATAACAAAATTTTCTGTACTGTTCCCTTGCCTAATTTCGATCTTTTTCAATTTTCACGTTTTACTTTCGGCATTTTATTTTTTCGACCAAATTCAGGTTAACCAAAACTAGCTAACAAATTTATTGCTAATTCTTCAATCAAAATTTCATCATGAACCTTGGTGATGTGTTCAGCGTCGAGTTACACTTATGAGTCCACAAAATTACTACTAGAACGAGATAAACTCGTTATAAATCCAAGTTTCTTCAACATAGGACAAGAATCTGAACCCGAACCATTCAGTTCGAAGTAAAAACTTGAATTAGACTTCGTTGCATATCTATACGAAATCCGATGAATAATTACAAGTGATGGCATCTGTTCCCGAAGCAAACAAGACACTTCATTTTCAGGACAATATGAAAAGATGGGTTATCAATCTTTATTGGTTTAAATGGTTAAATATTGTATGACAATTCAGGTATCAGCGTGTCTCATTCATTAAGGAAAATAGAGAGGAGGAAGAGGATTGCTTGTAAAGTAGTCGTACCCGTATGCATTACTTAAACTACACTTGTTCATATTCAAGGATGAATAGAAAAAGTCTTTCTCTGGAAACACCTTAAAGACTGGACGAAATGTTTCGATAGAAGACCTCATTCTACTTTATTTTTAGGTTCTTATTATCGAGGTGCACATGGCATTATTATAGTCTTTGATCTTACTGATGCAGTATATAATCATAAATGAGTTTTTTTTTCAACTAATAATAACTTGTTTTGTTGAGGAGTCGTTTGATCATATACACATATGGTTAGAAGAAATTGATCGATATGCAAACAACACTGTAAAAAAACTCCTGGTTGGGACCAAATGTGATTTAGCATCTCAGAGAGTGATCGACTATGATAAAGCAAAAGTATCGAGAAAAAAGATCGAGCAAAGGAATTTGTATAAAAATCTATGATATTTTCTTTTCACTTTTTCTTAAAGAAATTTGCTGATTCGTTGAATATTCGATATATGGAAACTTCAGCAAAGAATTCAACTAATATTGACGAAGTATTCAAGAGTATAGGTGGAGAGCTCATATCGACTACATTACCAGTACCAACAGAGCCACCAAAAATTGATAGTATATCTCATGTGGGAACTATCAACAGTACGACGACGATAAATGCTAACTAGTAAGTTGTTTTTTTAAGCAAAACAAATTATTTGTATGAAATAAGAACAGAAAATGCGTCAATACATTTAGTGATTGTTTGTTGAAATTACTACTAATCGGTGATTCGGGTGTAGGAAAATCAGCCATTCTGAATCGTTTATCTGTCAGTAATATTATTTAGTTTTTTTGAGTTGAAAAATAATCTTTTCTTCCTTCAGGATGATAGTTTTACCAAGAGCTTCATGTCGACGATTGGTGTCGATTTCGTAAGTTATTTTCTTCTTCAACGAAATATAACTGAGTATTTTTTTATGATTCATTTGTAGAGAATTCGTTTAATTGAAAACGATGGAAAAAAAGTTAAATTGCAAATTGTAAATACTCTCATTATGTGGCGGTGGCATGCAACTTGTATTTTTCATTTTAGTGGGACACAGCTGGTCAAGAACGCTATCGATCCATCATAAGTAAACTTATATACTTTTTTATTGAGTTGATATTGTCTATATCTTTTGTCATACAAATATACGAGAGAAATTTTCACATATACTTTCTCTCAAAAATCTGATTAGCCTGAGAATATTCAAACTCTGTAGAAAGTGTCAACGTTTAAGACTAGACATGTTCGTTTTTAAAGATCAATACAAAAATTTCTTACTGGCAACATTCTAAAGATTGAATGAAATGTTTCGATAGAAGTTGTTGTTCTATTTCATTTTTAGGTGCTTACTATCGAGGTGCAAATGGGATAATTATAGTCTTTGATCTTATCGATGCTGTATGTAATCCAGATGAGCTTCTCTTTTCAACTAACAACAGATTTTTTGTTAAGGAATCATTCGATCATCTCGACATATGGTTGAAAGAAATTGATCAATATGCAAATAACGACGTAAAGAAGCTGTTGGTTGGTAACAAATGTGATTTGATAGCTGAAAGAGTGATCGATCATGACAAAGCGAAAGTATGTATAGAAGAGATTGAATTGTCGAATTTATATAAAAATGAATGAGCTTTTTTTATTAACCTTTTTAAGAAATTTGCTGATTCATTAAATATTCGATATATGGAAACATCAGCAAAGAATTCGACTAATATCGAAGAGATATTCAAGATCATGACCACTGAGATCATGCCGAATGTAACACCAGTCCAGTCAACAAAGACAAGTGTGAATGTCAGTTCGCATGATGCAAAATCAAAGACTTCCAGTGGATTCTGTTGAAAAGAATGGTGAATCATGCTCAAGTTTCATGCTAATATACTGCTGTTGTACTGCTTTGCTATTTGTTTTCATGCATTGTATAAATTATTCGTTTAATTTGGAACTTTGAATGTGTCAGAATAGTTTTGTTATGGAAAAAAACGGATTGACTGTACACATAGAAACATACGTGCGTCACACAAATGAAGTCAGCAGCTAATTTGAGAACAGTATGATCCCATGTACATTATTAACATTTTCGTTTTCAAGAGTGTTGGTCCATACTGCGTCAAGTAAACACTCAAAATATTCTACTTTGACCTTGTAGTGGATTGTGATGAAAATAACAAACAAGTTTTTTGCCAGCTAAAATCGTCGATTGTGTTGAAAAGTTTTAATCATACTACAAGCATTTTATAAATGAAAATAAGTCCGTTGTAGCATGACATAAACATTGGTTTAAAAAACGTGCTTCAATCAAGCACACAGACACCATGTAATTAATCTCTGGTGGAAAACTCTCACGTTTTAGTAATGAGAAAATTCACTTCATGATCAGTACCACAATGAATTTTTAGTGTACTCGATACATTCCTAAGACTAAAAAACTAGAGTTTAGAAACGATAATATGTATCTATCCATCTGATGCATGTTTTTGAAACCATGTTCTAGCTAGTGTTACCTGGATTTATTTTCATTTTGATTCATTTTACAGCTAGGAATATATAGTGAAATACAGTCGATAACACCCACTGAAGTGAAACGTTAAAAACTTGGAACCCTTTTCCACATAGGAGATGACAAACAACTCAATATACTATACCATTCGTTTTGTTCAATATGCAACTGTTCTCAATGATATTTCTTGATAGTTTATATCAATCTTTATTATATGTACCTGACGTTAGCTAGTAGTTGCTCGTGTTATTTATATCATTTCATTTTTCATACATTGACTGTTGATTTGAAATAAAAATCATACAATGAATGGCTACTTTCGATCAAACTGATTTCTTAGTGTATTTTACAGGATTTATTCATTAATACAGACTTGCATTTAGCCAAAACCAAGGAACTCTCGTGTATTTCCATAATCTGCTTTAGACTTTTAACAGTTCACACAATTTTAACAGGCGATTGACAATAATTTTATTTTTTGATATAATATACGAGTATTGATTAATAGTGTGCTTGTCCCGTTCGTTATGCGATAAAAAACGATGTTTTTAGCAGGATTACTTCGTCTGAAAAAAAACAATGAGTGAATTGAAGTATATTTTTGAATAGAACGAGAATTTAAACAATATGCTTGTAGTTTTACTCTTCGAATTAATAAGAATGTCCAAATAGTGTCTTTTTATTGTGACAGAGTGAAATATCCATCATCACCTCGACTGATACTTTTTATATCTATCTCAATCAATCCTGATTCATTCGTTCAATAGATAGAAATCGATAACGGTGATCACAGCTTACTAGATATAGAATGCCCTCTATAATAATCAAATGAAGGAATGAGTGAGAAAGATATTAAATTTTGATACGATTTTCAATGAACAAGTATATGTTACGTTCGATATAGTTCGAAAAAGAAAAAAAGATGTGCGGCATTAGCAACTTCAACAGCTTTCTGAATGAAATCTTCGATTGATTTTATGTTAAAGTAATCTTAGCAAGACTTGAGATATAAAGAGTAGATTTTACTGTTGAAATAAAACTTCTTTCAATTTTATGAATGTTTCATAATAGTCGATACAAAGAAACCACTCTACATTAATACATGCTGAGTATTTCTTTTTCATTTGAGTTACTCAGTTACGAAGCGGGATATTGAAATCGTTATCTGGAACATTTTTTTTCTTCTTGCACAAACTATCAGTATTTATTCATGCTAATTTATGAAGGAAGTCTATGCTTGAAGGTCTCCTATTGCTTGTCTGATCTACAAGTATTTAATAATTGGATCTAATGAGCATCCAGTATATGTTCTCTATGCAAAAATTCATAGACAAGAAATAAAAGCAAAAAATTGATAACAAAGTGTGATGTTAAAAAAAAAAGAAGACGTGAACATAAATGCATCATGCAGCAAGAACGAGTATCAAAAAAATTTTGTTTGTATTTTTCAAAAGTTCAGAGTTTCATATGAGGATTAATCTTTGAGAAAAAGATGGATGTGGTTATGGGTATGTAGGTGTGGACTTGGGTGGGTCTAAGTGATTTTGTTCACTTCTTGGATACCCACACCGACACCCACTCTTATCTTTAGGTTTTGTAAGATATTTAAAAAATAGATGTGGAAATCTAATAAATTTTCAGAAGATAAAATCTGTCTTCAAAAAATACACGTGAACTATTTTCAAATAGTTTGATAAACTTTGTCTAGTCGTCAATCCCTCGTGCAGAAAATATGCGATGTTTTTCGCCACCATCGCATCTCATTTGATTCTTACTCATGAACAGGTTCTTGCACAAATATACGACATATTTCTCTTGTGACTCAACTTCCTATTTATTAAGCAATACTTGTTTTTTTTTCTGTTATTCTGAAGTACATTGATTAATCGTCATATTAGTATTTATAGCATGGTGAAACTTCTATTGAGTTACGTGCAATCAATAATATGTGACTTTTTTCGTTCTTGTTTTTTTTTGTCTGGTAATGACTCGTCGCTCGAAAAAAAACAAGATTGAGTATTTAAAGAAGTTCTATAATCCAAATAAATTCATTCTAAACGATGCTTCGAATCAAGCAAGATTCCTGCGATTTTATTCAACAAATAGGAATTCAATACGTTCCTTTGAAAAAAGTTGCTGTTGAGGCGTACATCAATTTGTTTGCTGTTGATGTAACTATTAAACAAATTTTTCGAAATAATGAAACTAAACCTATTGAAGCTGTTTATTGTTTTCCAATTGAAGAACAAGCAGCTGTCTATTCATTCATTGCCCAAATTGATGAACGACAAATTGTTGCATATTTGAAGGAAAAACAAGAAGCACAACGGGAATACAATAATGCTCTTCGACAAGGTCATGGTGCCTATTTACTCGAACAAGATGAAAAGTCTCAAGATAATTTTATAATCAATGTTGGTGCCTTACCACCAGGTAAAGAATGTCATATTTCAATATCATATGTATCCGAATTGAATTTGGTTCAAAATGGAAGTTTTATTCGTTTTTGTATTTCAACAACAATTGCACCACGTTATAATCCAGATGAAGGCGGTATTAGTTCACCAGCAGGTACTACGGCTAAATACGTTCAAAAAGTTCCATACACAATTGAAATTCATTGTTATGTGACAAAACTCAATGTCTCTAGAGTCAGTTCATCATCTCATCCGATTCTCATTGAAACTCGTCAAGATGATTTCTATTTCATCCAGTTTGCCCAAGAAAATACGTATCTAGATCGAGATATTATAGTTGATATTGAATTAGAGAATAATCGTTCGAATACTATTGTTGCGGTGGAACCTGGTGCTATTATGGCATCATTTACACCTACCGAACAAGATTGTCAACGAACAATCAATAATGCGGAATTAGCAAACGAATTCATCTTTGTTGTTGACTGTAGCGGGTCAATGGAGAACAAAAATAAAATTGGACTGGTTCGCGAAGCTATGCTTCTTTTTCTCAAGAGTTTGCCGACTAATTGCCATTTTAATATTATTCGATTCGGATCAAATTATTGCACACTATTCGACGATATAACTGCTATTTACAATGAAGAAAATGCGCAAAAGGCCGAACAACTAACAAAATATCTGAAAGCTAATTTGGGAGGGACTGAATTAGTAAGTTATCATTTTTTGAAATCTTTTCATTTGTCTACGAAAATTTTTCTTTTATCTATACTTTAGTTAGAACCTCTTCAATGGTTAGAAAAGCAGTCTCCAAGAGAAAATCGTGCAAGACAAATATTTCTGCTGACAGATGGAGAAATTTCAAATGTCGATCAAGTCCTCGATATATGTCGTTCGATGGCTACCTCTACACGTATATTTTCATTTGGTTTGGGTCATTCACCGAGTCGTTCACTCGTCAAAGGTCTTGCACGAGCAACAAATGGATCCTTCGTCTTTATTCCGTCTGATACGAGCGTTGACATACATGTTGGTGAACAACTTCGAAAAGCTCTACAACCATGCATAACGAACATACAAGTAAAATGGAACGTAGATATTGACATTGTGCATGCACCTACAAAACTACCACCAATCTACGCTAATGATCGTCTAATGGTTTATGGACTAGCGAATGATCCAGAATTGGTGTTCGATCATAATTCCAGTGTCGTACTAAAGATTGATGAGAATCGTTTGGGAGAAGCGAAAATAAATAGTATACCACAGGTTAGCAACAATAACATGATCGCAAGACTTGCAGCTAAAGCACTGATTCTCGAGTTACAACATTCGAAATTAACTTCATCAACCATAAAAAACATTACACTTTCATTACAAAGTCGATTTAAAAACGAACAGTTATCTTTGACATCAGCGATGACAGTTGATGAGAAAGAAATTACAAAACAACGTATTATTGAACTTTCACTCAAGTATCAAATTTTAAGTCCACACACTACTTTTGTTGGTATTGAACAGCGAATAAATGGCAACAACGTTGGTATGTTCTTGCGTGAGGTGCCTATTCAAATATCGACTGATGATCAACATTTATTTAGAGTCTTTCCAATGAGTTCTATTCCAAAGGTAAATTGCCATATGGCAGCACCATTAGTTGCTCCATCATCTACGTATCGACACGCATGCGGTTCAACTTCCTTTGTTACGCCATTTGATCGGTCTTCTGGAGGAAACATGTTTGATCCTTGCGTTAATGATATTGCTTCTTGTTGCGTGTTCCCTGACGTATCGGAAGATTTCCTCGAACTAGACGATATCCTATCCTATGAACAGAAATGCGATGTGACTGAAATACATCCTCCAGATGAAGAAGAGCCGTGGCCAACAGAAGATCAACATATTGTTCGCTATCTTATCAACAAACAAAAGTTTGATGGTTTATGGGATTTAAATGAAAAAGATATAGAAAAACTAACTGGAAAATCATTCGCAAATTTTTCACAAATTGATAATCCGAAGGTAGCCATGTTAGCTATTGTAATAATCACATTAGAAACACGTTACTCGGCATTATCTTTAATGTGGCACGGTGTCATACAAAAAGCTCTCAAACGTCTTCTTGAATTACTCGGCCACAATGCTGATCAGCTTCGATCAATTTTAGAAATGGTTCGTCAACAATTATGAGTGTTAAGAGTAATCGATTGTATTTGAACTTGTCATTTTTTATTATGATTTATTCCCAGTCAACTGAAGGGAGGGTAATACGAAAAAAACTTAAAAGCGTTTGTGGGTTTGTGCCAGGTCAAAAGAACAAAAAGATCAACAAAAAAATCATACTGTCACTATGACACATCACCCAAACAGAGGTTGTCAACCCTGGGCTGTCGGCCACTCATATTTTTAATTGAGTTTTTTGGATTGAAGACAGCGTTTTTTGGCAAAAAAAAGGTATTCTATAAAGGTTGACGAAAGTAAATCGGGGTTGGAGAATCCGAATCTGAAGCTAATTTTTGAAAATTTTGAATTGATTTTTGTGGATTGAGGAAAGGGGTGTGGGTGTAGGTGTGGGTATGCGTCTTGAACAATGATAACCACATCCGCACCCATCCACACCCACCCATCAAGATAGAACATCCACATGCTGTAACCACATCCAGCATCTTTAGCCACAGTCACACCCCACTCCACTCACACCCACACTGATATCCAAATAATAAAAATCTTTGATCTAATAAGCTCTCGCCCAAAAGATTCCTTCCGCACTTCCGCAAATACGACAATTTTAGTCGAGCAGGGTCAGGCACGCAGCCAAAATATACGGTATCGATCGGCTTGACTCCAGAAGTACTTCAAATTAGTAGCTTCTGTCACATACCCACACTCTCTTAAGTCTACGGTGGTTAAATGAAGTTTTCAATTAGAATAGGAAAAACAATTTGTTACAATATCTTTGAATTTCAAATAAATGATGGAACAATTCTATCGCACAATAATAACGAGAATAATTGTAATGTCGGTAAACCTACCGAATAATTGTTTTTAAGATCGCTAATTTTGTGAATTTTAATGTTGACTTCTGGTCAAAGATTTATCAAGAAAATGCTACCGTTGATTTGACCAGTAATCGGAGCGCTGAAACTTACTGTGCCAACAACAGACTGAAACTAATGCATAATTTGAAAAATAACTTGAAAACCCTTTTGCTTGAATATGTACTCAATTCAAGAAAAAATAATTTAGTTGAAAAGGAAAAACAAATTGTCTGCTATAGTGAAACAATAGCAATTAATTGATGAAAAAGAAATGGGGTTAATAATTAAAAAAAGCAGCATCAAAGTAAAATTAAACAGACAGCAATCGGCGATACAAATGTATGCACAACACTTCTTATTCAATGTAATTAAAGACGAAAAAGAACTGTATTTCGGATAAATCCAATCAAACAAACGAAGAAAGAAAAAGAATTGGCCGTCAACGTAATTGCATCACAAAGTATGCTTTTTCACATCTTCAACGAGAAAATAATGTGATTGAAGGCCATGCAACAACAAAGTCGTTGGCAACATTCTATGACAACCTAAACAGAGTTCTCTCTTCACAACGTTTGCATTTATTCTTTTTGTCCACTCACAATGTTCATGGGTAGCAAAGAAAAACAAATTTACATAAAGAATGTTACACAAGTTTTGAGCCTCTTATGCAATAGTTTTTCAGATGTTTCGACAGTCGAAAAGGCCGATGTTTATGATATATATATATACTAGATGTCAAGATCTGCTGTATGTCAACATTTTAACTCCCTATTTATCACTGTTGCAGAGATGCAAGCATAGCCGAAATCAAAAGAAATTTTGAATTATAGGTGCAACAATTATGAATGAGACAAAAATTGTTCATTAGACCACACATTATTCGCAAATAGCTGTTGCTTCACTTTATATAAATTTTGCGTTCCGTTATTTGAGGGTAACAGTACAACGATTGTAACATAGGATATCTAAGGATGACATTCGAGTATTGATTGACACGATTCGCTCCGTGGAAAATTCCAAAAACACTAATGCTGGTTTCAGATAGTTCTTGATGCGCTTCTCAGGTCAAAAATATTTGTGAGGAAACAGCTGCATTCGATGAATTTCCGAAAAAAATTTCGACAGTAGGGCTCAGAGTGTGGGTGTGGTTTACCATAATAGCCACGTCCACACCCCACACTCACATCCACTGCATTCACACCCAACAATCTCAACCATACCCACACCCCACGTCCATAAATGTTCTTTGCGTCAGACTTTTTCTCGCACCCTCACCACGAAGATGTAAGTGAAATCAAGCATTTCTCTTCTATATGATTTCATGGAATGAAAATTCCAACAAACACCATTTTCCTCTCTACCTATGTTTACTTTATTTCAGTCATCGTCAGATGTAGGAAGAAAGCAACATTTTCGAGTATGGTATGTTTTTTTTGCAAGCAACCATAAAAGAAATGAAAAGGAATTAATAGATGGGTGTGGGTGTGGGTGAGTGTGGGTGTGGGTGTGGGTGGGTT